CTTTTAGTAGTAAATCATTATGGCTGTGTTTCCTTCAAATAATGTGTAAATTTAAATATTTTAAAACTAAGACCACATTAATATTCATGCTCCTTCCTCCCACAGCCCACTTTAAATATACTGCAACTGTGTATTCATGTATGCACTTATACAGTATATATCACCCTGCAACTGCTTTATTTTCTCAATATATTCTGTTCTTGTGCTCATAACCCACTTTTCTATTTTTTCCCTGCACTACTCTATCTGCTGCTGGCACAACTCATTTCCCCACGGAGATCAATACAGCTTCATCTACTGTAATTTCATCTTAGAGGTCATTAATAGGCAAAATCCTACAGATGCATTTGTTTTAGTTATAAAAGCATTTGAACTGAATGTTTGCGTCAGCACAGTCTCAAGGTTTCCTGTGACCCCACCAGAGAAAGGCTGATATAAAGTTGCAGAATACAACTACAGTACACTTTTTGTTTGCTGTGATGGTGCAAAGGCAAAGATACTGCATGAGGTGAAACAGACAGCTGCATCAAAATTCATATTTCTCAGAGTCAAATCTGAACACACAGACATTTAAAATCAGGGCCATGTGATATATTGTTTCAGTATCTACACTGAAGCTGAATCGCAGGACTTGGCGATGTCAAGTGTGGCACATTAACTCAAGCGTGTCATGCTACAGATTTTTGGCTGCTTGATACAAAAGGAAAGCCTGTATGGTTTTCATTTTTCATTACTGATGTTACCAGCCAAGACCCCCCCCCCCCCCCCCCCCCCCTTAAGACAATGATGACAATGATCATTCCAATCATTCCAATCATTCTACAGTTATTACTTATTTCTAAATAGAGCTATTCAAGTTCCACAATATAAAAATATCACTATTTTTTTTCCCAATATTGTGTGGTGCTGGACATGACGCACATATTTTACAGTGTGGATACAGTGTGATTTAAATTTTCCAAGGATATAATTCACTCTAGTGCTCATCCAAACCTCCATAAATCTGATTAGAAATCTAACTGGAAAAAATGCACATTCCCCATGACAGAACTTGCCTGGGAATCATCATGTTTTTAAATTTTCTTCAGTATCAAATTAATCCAGGTATAGTTATCTGTACATCCACCATCCTCCATGGCTAATTCGGCATACCTTTAATGATGCTAATTTCTCTAAATTTTAGAAACTCCTGGAGGGTAAATTCAAGAGGAAATGTGAGGCTCTAAAATGGCATGTAAAATAAAAAAGTGTCAGTAAGGGACCGTTCTTTACTTATCAGAGGAGAGGGGAGTGGCTAGCGTGCAACTTTTTTTTCTGATGGAAGCATTCTTTCCACATAATGTGTTCAAGGACTGTTGGAAATTTGAAAATCCAACAACAGTTTCTGTTTTTACAATTTCTGGCTATGACAAATAGTATAATTTTGCCAATTTTTACAGAAAGCATGCATGTTTTCTCTAAAAATCAGCAGTAAAATAAATACAAAATACAGCATTAATAACAGTCCCTAAGTCATGTCAATACACTTGTAGTCTGTTAACAATGAAATCATTTCCAATATCTGTCCCTGGTCATCCTACATTTGCACACACACTTACACACGCACGCACACACACACCACACACACACACACACACACACACACACACACACAAAACACCCCCTAAATTACCAAACAACCATAACAGCACTTCATTCTCTGCTTAATTTAGCCATTGATTTTTCTTACTCCAGATCACACCATAGATAGTGCAAGACATCAGGCTGCAGTGTTTTATGGTCTTTGTGGGAGCCCCCTGCTCTCTCTCACACACACACAAACACACACACACACACACACAGAAGGAAAGAGAAAGAGGACGTTTCCCCAGAGATCATCACTAAAAAAAATCACTGCCTACTACTGTTAGGAGATCTAACCACAGCAGTGTGTGTGATTGCTGTTTGTGTGTTTACAGCTGCAGTTCCCTCCAGTGTGTGTGCGGCTTTGCTCAGATCAGATGTGAACCAGCAGACACTCACAGACACAGCTATACTGCCACATCATCACAAACACACATACATGTGCACACATGCAGCCTCAAACACACACACCAAACTGTTTTAGTGGCATGATGGAGACACAGATCCGATATGGGTCAGTCATGTGTCATTTATAGTATTAACAATTTTTTTAAATCTGGGATGACACACAACATAATTTCTCTAAATGCTTATAATACTAATAAAGATATTCTTATTCATCATAGTAGAGCTGCAGAGTATCCAACTTGTAAAGGATAATTCCAGTTTATTACAGCTTTGATCTTATTTTCATAGTTTAGGATATTATTTGAAAACATTCTACGCACCAAAATAATTGCTGAGGTCTGGGAACATGACAAAATTGCTAAAAATTGGTTCAACAGGGCAAAAAACAAGTCAGCTAGTCATCTAAACCACCTAATCTTCCAAATAAGTCTGACTAGTCTGGGTTTTTGGTTAAAAATCTATGATTGTCTGGTACTTCTTTTTAGTGACACTGTCCAAACCCAGATCACAGTAAATATCTTAACATTTTGGAACAAATGTTTTCTTCCTGAAAATGATCTAAAAAGATCCCAGTCCCATATCAGATACAGAACCAGGGCCAAATGCATTAACAATGAGGAAACGGAAGACGTGTTCGATGAGACGGAGCACACCTCACCCATTCATCAGATCAGGCGTACACACAGTTTCAAGTGAGATAGCTGCAGTAGATACGATGAGGAGGAGATTGATACTGAGGGACTGGTAGTTTTGTTTTTAGGTTGCTTCACTGATTGTGTTGTTATTACTGCAGGCTGCACTGTGTTCTGTAAAATGTCGATCAAAAGCACATTTATAAAGTCAGTTTTAAATCATTTACAAGTGATATATTTCATCACTTTTAATTTACAGTAATCTCCCTGTTAGTGATCGTTACACATTATCATGTGAAGCACTTTGTAAAGTCAACTTCAACATGAGTGCTATAAATGAATCATTGATCACCTGTCTGACGTTAAATAATAATGATGATGGAGATTTTACCGTGATGATGGTTTGCTGAAATGTGATGAATTAGTTGTACGGATGCTAAATTGCCACGGCCGTGCGTGATGACAGCTGCTCTGGCGCTGTTGGAGAACCTTGCAGATGCGACACAATCGATGCAGTTGCACTTTCTTTACCTTATTTCTCATCGGCAGGTCTGATGAGTGGTAAAGCAGGCACAAGCACTCATATGCAAAGAGATTTTTCAGGACATTTCTACATCCTTCTGTGGGAAACTGTCAGATTTATAAAGCCACACATGCGTCTGATTCTGCCTTTGTGTGTACACACAGTTTTAAGGCTCATTTTAAAAACGAAAATAGATATGTCGATTTTGTGCGTCCCTTATTTTACTTGGGCAAGTTCTGCCTTTTTTAATTGATAGGACAGCTCAGATAGACAGGAAATGCAGGAGAGACAGGGAGGACGACACGCAGCAAAGGGCCGCAGGCTGGAGCCGAACCGGGGCCACTGCGGAAGACCCAGCCCACATGGGGTGCACGCTCCACCTGATGAGCCAGAGGTCGCCCCATGCATCTTTTATGATGGCATAGATACAGTCAATAGATGCCACTAGAGGGCGGAGTCAAAAGTTTCACACAACAACAAACGAGATCGTAACAATGCACCTTTAAGTGGTTCCGCCACCATTTCAATTTCTTTGTCTCTCCTTTGGTCATATTTGGCTTGATCTACGATACACTGCCTCCACGATCTCCGGTGGCACTGCTCTGCTTCATCTATATCTGTAAGCTTTTAGAAAACGTGCACGAATATGTATGAAATGGACGCAGAGTACGGACAGTCCGTCTTGGCCTCCATATCTAACATTGAGCATAAATGAGCCCTTATGCCTCATTTCCACTTATGTATGTGGCTCGTGTCCGTAGATCCGTAAATAAATGGATGATGCCTCTCGTGTCCAACGCAAAGAAGTGCATTTCCTTACAGATGGTTAGAAATCTGATAAAAGCTCCCTGTAGCTGTGGGGGAGAGGCGAATTTCGCAGTTTCTTGCCATCCAGTAGTTTGGAATATGTGCTTGGAACATTACCAGGACAAAAACAGGACCTGTCACCATGTACGTGGCATGTTTTGTTAAAAAGACGTATGAACATTTGAACGAGTCATAATGACGATCTGACTGTATGTAATGGTTAAGCATATTTAAGCAGGATAACATTACTCAGATTCACAATGTGTTCAAACTAAACAAGCTCTTTTTAATCAGACAAACAATCAACAGGCAACTGAGCTGAAGAAAATAGCCTGTTAGCTAGTTAGCAGTCTGTTAGCTAAACTAGCACACTGTCTCTCCGAAATCCACCGCAAAATTTACATTTTTTGTATGTACTCTCGGCAAATCCCAGACCAAATTACAGAGGGGAGGAGTTTCACAGGCACATCAGATATCACGGATTTCCATGGGAATGAATGGACTTCCGGTTGCCTCGTCTCCGTTCACATACGTAAGTGGAAATAAGGCATTAGTCATGAATCTATACGAAGTTTTACGCATCTGGCCCCCGGAATCTGGACATGATTAGCCTAGAGTCTGTCCAAAGATTACACATACTCTTAAATACATCTCTAAACTCACTGAATAACATGTTGCAACTTGTTTATCTGAGCACAAAGAGGAGGAATATAATGTTACTCAGTGTACCCACGTCCCGTCTCCAGCTTCTTACTATAAGGTTATGTTGGACTATTATAATTTAAGTACAATGCTGTTATTATTACCAATAAAAATGATGGTGAAATCAAGAACCTGGCTGTAATAAAACTGAATTATCCTTTGTTTAAAAAGCAAATATCGTCCATATATCCTGGTAAAACTTTGGTCTGGTTACCTCTCATACAGAGAACCTCATCTTCCTGTTTTACTGTGATCAAAAACCCCACACTGCACAAACACAACATGAAACCACGTGATCGACTTACAGGCGTTGGTGACGGCGAAGCTGTTTGCCGTCTCGATGTTGTCCACGTGAGGCACCAGGTTGAATGGGGCTTCCGAGGCGTTGGGGCTGGTGTTGTGCAGGAAGATTGCCAAACGAAAGGCAGTGTACTCCTGATCAGTGTTTCTGATGAACAGACCGCCTGAACAGAAGGAGGACAAGCACAGGTCTGATGAGGAGCATGTGGGGAGGAAAAGCCCCAGAGAAGAATCCACTCTATCTCACCCATATGTTTAATTTTATGACAGACAGTTCAACTCTTTCTGACACAGAGGCGTGAAACAAGTGAAATACCAGCAGAAAACTATGAAAACAATTTCAGCATTATCTGCAGATTTTCACTGGCTTGAATACAGATGACATTTTAAAAGATACACACCCTGATTTGATCAGACTCAGCCTCCATATTCATTCATTAGTATTGACCCATCTTCACTGTTCACTAGAGCAGTAGTTCCCAACTCATCCAGCCACGGGGTCCAAATTTCTTCTTAGTCATTAGCTCAAGGTCCACACAGTTTAATATACTCAATATAGGTTTTAGTTTCAGAAAATGAAACCACGCGATTCCCTCATGAGCTATGATCTATTAGCACAGCTGCCAGAAGATGGCATTCTACATATCTGTAAACCATGAATACATTACATTCTTATGTCTCATATGTATCAAATCACACTTCCTAAAGAAACAGTATATGAGCTGACTTTGACATCAGGAGGTGGAGGGGATGGGATGGCGTGTCATCTAGGCGAGGCGCCTGCCAAGCTGCAGACCACTCTTCAGGACCAACAAACTGAGAAGTCACTGTTTCCAACCTGGATTGTGCCACCAAAACAGGATCTTTTCCTAACCAGAACTTAGTGGTGTTTATGCTGAAACCTAACTACATGTTAACTACAGGGTTGTTGAAGTGTTATGAAATGTTAAGCATCAAGGTATGAACTTGATCAGTGGTTCCCAACTGGCCCAGCCACGGGATCCAGATTTCTCTTTAGTCATTAGTTTGAGGTCCACACAGTTAAATATATTCAGTGTCACACTTGTGTTTGGCCATGTTGTCGAGCTAGTTTGCTGTCTCCGTTAAGTAGCTGTCATTCTTCACCAGGAAATGGCACTGAAAAAGCTCTGTATCGGAAATGCACTGTACATCAAAATAAAGTTTGTTTTTTACAAACTTGACACATTTGCAAGTCACTTGCGGCCCATTCAGAATGGACCCACGACCCACTTTTGGACCGCGACCCACCAGTTGGGACCCACTGAACTAGGTAATAACCTACAAATGTAAGGTGTCCATGGTTTGCAAAAACGCACAATGCCAACATTTACTCTGGTGACTGGGTTGGATCTCTTCTCCATGCACAAGCACTTTAGTCACATAATGACACCAGAGCATTTTGTATTTGCTGAATAAGTCTGTGAGAGACGGATGAATCAAAAGCTTGTAATAATCAAAGCTAAAAAGTAAAGTGTGTGTTTGGAATATTTTATCACAGATGTTCCCAAGGTCAATAATGAGCCTCCACACTAGTTACAATAGTTATTTCTATGACTGTATTTTCATCTGCCACTTCTATGACTTGGGTATGTTTAGATTTATGCATAAAAACGACTTAATTAAGATTCAGGAAACATTGTGATTTGGGTTGAAACAAGACTAGCCATTCAGATCTGCATAGTTTTTCTTTTTGCTTTCAGTATACTGCAGCTGCTCTTACATAGTAAGTACTGCTACCTGGATGCATACAACTAGGACGTAAGTAAAAGACACAAGTAAATAGTATGTGATTAAGAGCTCAAGAGATCCTGACATTATTACTTAACATTCCCTTGGAGATAAAACAAAATGCCATTCATCAAGTTCACCAGAGATGGAGGTCAATCCAGAGAGCTCTGCTGCTGTTACTCTGCAATATATATAGTTTTGAGTTATAACTGCATACGTTGCAGATTGTTTGTGATTGCTTGATTGATTATTGTCACTGCAGCATTTGTCAGCTGTCAATGTGCTGTCATCTTCCTGCAGCTAAGTCAATATGACCTATGCAGCCAGTATGCTGGCTTGCATACTGTAAAATGCGACCGGATGCAACAGAACATCCTGGTATTTGGACATACTAAATCTTCTTATGGCATACAAAATAGTTTGGTAATATGTAGATTTCAGTTGGAACTAAGTGGTGGACCAATTGACATTACCATCCTTAAGACCAACCCACTCTCTCTCCTAACTTGTCAAATACCGACACTTGGTCAGCAGCCCTCAGCGTCAGATACCATCACATCGAGGCACCCTTTAGTGTTTGAAAGAGACGTAAAGGGCCATGTCTTTTTCTGAGCAATGGCAGTAGTATAAAGAGCAAGAAAATACATATAGGGCAGGAGGGAGGTGTGGTAGATGGATCAAACAAACACAGGACTTTCACCAAGGAAACTGTTGTTCGAATCCAGTGTGAAACCACAAACCCAACATGATCTTTTTTCCAAACCTAACCACATTGCTTACTTTTGTTGCCTAAACCCAAGGAGGTAAAGCTAAAAATGAAGTAAACCTACATTTGAAGTTTATTTTGAAATGACACCCTATGCATTTAATGAGCAGAAACTGTACATTTCTCATGTACATAGAAGCTTCTTTTGAAAAAATAAGACATCGCTGAGCATCCAAAAGTGATGCTGGAGGGTTACCAAGAGCGTCGTAGTTTGACATGTAGGGCCACTGACCAGGTGTCTGTATTTGAGGAGTTGGGAGTGAGAATATGCTTAGACACATGCTGTTAGCATTGCTAAAAAACAACAACACTTATTTAAGGTTAAGAAATCTTCATCTTCATCAAGATTTATACTTACTTACTTATACTTATACAATTTCAAACACAAGTACACAAATCAGCTTCACTATAACTCGCAGCATTCACAGACAAAGCACTTGACTTTATCTGGACACATTTTCCCCACAAATACAACATGCTAACGTTATTAGCACAAGCCTATGGCATTTTACATTGTATAAATTAGCCTAATGGCTAGCTTACTTTTCCTCTACTCCTGTGAAGTCAGGAATAACAGCAAGATTTAACAAAGGTAACATTACAAAATTCGGCTCCATTACAACTTACAAGCTTCACCGACAAAACAACTGTCTTATACTAAACACGTTTTCCAAACAAATATAACATGCTAACATTATTAGCACAAGTCTATGGCATTTTACATTGTATATATTAGGCTAGAGGTGAGCGGAAATTTCCTCTAACCAGATAAAGCCCGGCTAAATCACACACAAGACTTAAAATGCTATTTTGTAGGGGCTTTATTCTCTTAAAAGTCTATTGTTTCTGTGAAATTACATGCAGTAGTGCAGAAGTAAATAAAAGCTTCATTTCCACTGAGGGAAATGGTTTCAGCTTACAGAAACAGACAGGAGGTCTGCATCGCCGCAACGTGTAGTTACATTTCTGGGGAGGTGCACGTCAGTTTGATGCAAAAGTATAAATCCTGCTTTATGGTGAAAACAAGAACTAGTTGGTAAAGGTTTGGGAGGGACCACAATCACGGTTACAGTAAAATTAGGTCCTTGTCAGATAATTATAGGTCATATTCATCATTTAAAGAAACAACTACTACTTTCCTTTGTGAGAAAAAACTCAACAAATGCTATTAAAAGCTTTTACCAAATGTGTTTTAAGGTTTCAAAGACTGTTTTAGTGACTGTGGTTGAAGAGAAACCTCTATGATATTAGAAGTGCTCACAGCTGACTGGACAATATATGAAATGTAATAAAAGCCCATTATTGTTCTGGTAAATCACTACTGCTGGCAATCCAGGGTTAATCCTACAGTATAGCAACTCGGGACTCTTTAAGCACCACACTGGGCTTTGTGACATTGTAGGATACAATTTGATTGGCATGTAAATCACCTTTGTTTCATATCAGTGCAAGCAGAAAAAGAGATATAATATTCACAGTATATCCTCCTGGATCAACACAGCTTTTCATTCCGTTTTTTTATGCATGAGCAGCTCCAGAGTCAAGAATCAGTTTGGCATCAGAGATAAGACTTTGCTCTTGGTTTCTTTTTTACATTACAGCCTTCTTCATATACAGAGATCCTGACTACGCTGTTCATGGTTGTGCAAATGTCAGCGGTGTTTTAGGTTTGAAGCAATTTGCTTCACATTTGGAAATCTAACTTAAGGCTATATTTCTTGGGATGAGACAGTATAAATGTCATTTCAAGCAAAATGCCAGCGTGTTCTTTTTATGGCTGACCTCTTTAAAGGTAAACTTTCGAATATTTTACTCCTTTATGATGCCCACTCGTGTAAAGCCTTTACATATTTTTGCATAACTCAAGTAATAGTTGGGAAAAAGCAGCTGTGAATTTCATATAATTCCAACTGTGATGGTTTCATGTCCCATTGACTCACACCAAATGCTCACAGGAGGTGTTAATTCTTGATTTACAAAAAAATGGTGCAAACGTTTTGATCATCTTGGTACCCGATCAGTAGGAGCGCCCTTTGCATATTTCAAACTTTAAAAACTTATCCTCACTACTGATTAAACGAGGAGAAATATCAAGCTTTGACCTGAATCCCACTTATTCAGCTGCGACTTTCCCTTCTGCTAGATGTCACACAAAATGAGATTCAGTACAGAAGTGCATACTGAAGTTCCCCAGACTTTGAAGTTTCATATGGTTTGCAAACAATAACACTCTTCTGGGTTGAGCTTGTTTGTTTTTGACCTCATTCCCACCTGGTTTATGCCAGGATGTCTGGATGATGACATTTGATCACAGGCTTTACACCACAGAATTTACACCTGCTTTTTTGAGTGTTTCTTTTTACCTCTGCTCACATTGGGATCAGATCTCTGTATCTAAATTAGGCGAACGGAGCTGGATGACTTGACAGCAAATATGGTGTGTTTTAGGTCCAGGGAAGTACAGTAGCGTACTCTCAAGGGGGCGCTAAGATGTGTCATATGAGGATACTGTACTGCAGTTTTCAGGGTTTGTCACATTACCATTGGGTCCAAAAACACTTTTTCCCACAAGCAACTTTTACACTGCCTGTTCAAGGCAGGAATATCGTGCCATTATGCTTCCTCGCTGTTCTGTATATGAGGTACGAC